ATGATAACACTGGAAAAACTCTTGGTCCCCATCAGAACTGCTTGATGTACAAAATGCCTTTTATGTCACATTTGTACAAAGGACACATATGCAGTTTTAACAAAACTGTAATTATAAACAAAATATTATAGTAAACATTTTTATGCATAGCCTAACCATTGATTGCTATGGTTGGTCTTGACTGGTTGACGAATGATTGCTGAAAGTTGCTTGCTAGTGTCCAGGTGAAAATGGTCAACAATAGGTATACATGGCTCCGGTTAAAACCACTTGTAATAGCTTCCATCCCTCTAGTAGACTGCTGTGTTCATCCATAGTTCTCGTGGAGGAGTCTCGGCCTTGTGCAACTGAAGCTTTAGTTAGATTGCAGGTGCTGTGGAGGTTCGCCCGTCTGTTTAGGCTGATAGGTGCACGGCCCTAGTGTCACTGTGCAGGCCACAGCTACACCTTGGTGAAGCAAAATGAATACGAACCTAAAGCAACATGTGGGCCAGATTAAAATGTGCAAAGGCCCAGTTAAGTTACACACATGAGTAATATTTAAAAAACAAATAAATATTTGACTGCAACATATTATTTTCTCCAGCTGATGATCATTCATGTCATCATCTTTCCTCTTGGTTTTTCATTTTCCCACCTAAACTATAATGCAGCTTCTATCTGCCTCTCCGGTAAGCTCAAGCTAGAAAATGGACAAATGTTGCAGGTGATAAAAGCAGTAATGAATAAATTATGATATTTATGAAGACAGGGGTGTTTGCACAGAGTTAAGGGACACGTAAATTCACACATTTATTGCAAGCGTTGATGGAGCGAAAACAGTATCTGAAACCATTTGGCTTTCACCTTCATTAAGATGGGGACGTTCTGTAAACCCATGCCTGATTGTTTATCACCTTTTATTTTGCCTTTTGTTCACAAGCTTATCATCATCTTCACCCTGGCACACCTTTAATGTCTTTAGGTAATTCTCTTTCACAAGTCCGCAGTGCTTCCATTCCCCTCCCTAAATCCCGACTTCATTTACTCTTTATTTCTCTTCCACTCCGTGTTCGTCCCTCTCCTTCTTTAGCACTATTCTCCTTTATTTCATCACCCTTCTCACACCTGCTACTCTAATATCAGCAGTCGCTTTTTTCCTGTTGTTCTGTAATTTACAGGAGTGACGAGAAATATGAAAGAGAGAGTGGGAAGGACGACAGATTTGGACAGTGGGCTGATATTTCCAAGTACAAAAAAGCATTTTAAAGCCCATTTTTATAAATTTAAAAGAAAATACTTGCAGCTTTCAACTACAACTCAAACACGGAATAGCTGAGCACATTAGCATTATAGGCAGACCTTCTGTCATGGCTGAAAGCACTCTAAGAAACACTCTAAACAACTCTTGAGAAGCACTCTAAACAACTTGTCCGGAACTGTTTTTATCATTTAAGAAACATTTCTAAACTCAGACTGCTGGTGTCAAAAGCAGAACTTGAGATGATTCTTCATGCTTTTATCTCTTCTCGTTTGGATTATTGTAACGGTCTTTTTATGTATCTCAACAAATAAGCTCTCGATCGCCTTCAGTCTGTACAGAATGCAGCGGCAAGACTTTTAACTGGTACAAACAAGAAGTCACACATTACTCCAGTTTTGGCTTCTCTTCATTGGTTTCCAGTAAATTTTAGGGTTCATTTTAAAATTTTAGTTGTTTAGAGCTCTGCACGGTGAAGCTCCCCAGTATATCTCTGACCTGTTGAAACCTCATGCTTCATCCCGAACACTTAGGTCTTCAGGTCAGAGGCTACTGGTGGTCCCACGTACTGGGTTTAAAACACGTGGGGATCGGGCTTTTCAGGCACTGGCACCTAGGCTGTGGAACTCTCTGCCGTGTCTTTACGCTGTCTAGACTCTACTGACTCCTTTAAAAAGCAGCTGAAGATATTTTTATACAAACAGGCTTTTAATTAATTTTAACCTGTATGTCTGATCTTATTGTGAAGCACTTTGTGATTTTTATCTGTGAAATGTGCTATATAAATAAATTTTACTTAAAAAGCTTCTTAGTGGATCTTAGTTTGAGAAGTTGCTGTTGAAGCAGTGGTTGAGATTTCTGGATAAAACTAAAGTTTTAGTTAAAGTGACAATACAACAGGTCATGACATCACTTGACAGGTTTCAAAGGACTATAATAAACCTGATCAGCAACTTTGAAAACAAGAGGAGAGCATCAACATCACCTACAGAAAGATGGCGAAATAGATGAATAATTGGTCAAGTCTAGTGCTGGGTGTATGTAATTCTATGAATGCACTCAAAAAAATATTTAATCTTCAGACAACAATTCTGATGGCTAAAGAACCAAATGGGACAGGCAAAAAAAAAAAAAAATTTAATCTGATTACATTTAACATTTGTGATGTGGCCACCAACTTTCAGAGATAACAAGCTCCTGACCCTTACAGAAAAGCTAGGTAAGCATTAGCATGTTTCATTTTCCCTGATATGAAAACTTGCACATTTCACCCAGCGATGCCTAAACAATCTATAATTGCTGCTTCAATAAAATTGTTTTCCCAATCTTGGCAGACCGTAAATTTAAAAAGAAAACAAAAAAAAACAAAAACATTCTAAATAACAATATTTAAAAATATTAACTTTTTTCTACAATATATTTTTCCCAAGTATAATCCCTACATGATTTCCATTTAGACATTTTAAGGCTCTGCTCCTTTTGTTCCGAGCTTTTAAATTCCAGCAACATCCCAACATACTGCACTGACATCTGTTGGATGAACTGTGGCTAAGCGGAAATTTTTAACATATTCTGCACCTCGAGAATATAATAAAACCTAAAAAGTATGTTAAATAAATAAACAAAGGGTCTCCATTGCCTCTCACTATTAGCGCCATGTGATTAGAAATCAGATTTGACAAGGTGAACCACCACACCCGAGGCTCTATGCCATGAATGTCTCACTCACACCCCTGATCACATAGTCAAAGAAACACTGATCAGTATAAAAACTGGCAGACGATTATTCTGAATGACTTTTTTTGCAGTAAAACAATTATTTCACCACTAACAGACACTGGCAAGCATTGCTGACCTTACATGCAGATAAATATACAGTTAAAGAACCACCATTACCAACATGCTGCTTTTTCCTGTTCATGTTTCACTTTCACTCGATTTTTTTCAGCACCTTTTGCATAAATATTCGCACATCTTTATAGTTTCCTCCTTCTTTCTGTTAATCTATCTACTGCACACTGTTTCCTCCTGTGAAGAGCAGAACTAATCTACATCTTCCTCACCTGAAGCCCCTTTCATTATTGTCTCTCTCTATCCCTGTCAAGGGCTGTTAATGTTCCCATACCATCTGGTTGATGGTGTAACTGGTTAGCCTATAATGGGATCCTTAATCATCAATACTCCATACCTATACTGCAGTGTTCGCAACCTTACACAGTCTTGGTTTCTTTCTTACTGTCTCTTCTGGCTGCAAGAATATTTTTAGCTTGTTTTTAGGTCTGTCACAGCGCAGTAACGTTGCAGCTTCCTCTATGTACTATTAAGGGCATTTCAACATGCTGTTGCTGCACAAATTGGATTCGCACCAGGAAATCGCTTCCAAATACCATATGCATGTGTGTTTCTTTTTAGAAGAAAGCACTCTAAATGACTAATAAGAACAAATAAATACTACATAAAGCTTGATGGTCAGGATGAGTTGAATATTATGCTTATGAGTGGCTAGTGAATGAACTGCCCTGCAGATAATATCACCTGTGAATACAGAATATAAATATGTAGAATGCTTATAATAATACCAGAACTGAGAGCAAACCAAGGCTTATCGTACATAAGATATAGAACATAATTTAAAAACATGTTTTCCTTGCAAGCAGGAGCACTCAGAGTGTAGATGTGAGGTTAAAGCATCCCCTTTTAGTCAACTACAAGTCATGGTTAGAAGCAGCAGGCAATTTTATATGTAGAAAAGTAGGCACGAGGCAAATCTGGCCTTTTAACAGCAACAGATGGAAGTGGAAGGACAAAAGAAAAAAAAATCAAAGAGAAAACCCCAAAAAGCGAAATTAATTTTTTAAAGGAGAGATAAAAACACCATGTTGTTACCCAGTGGTGATTTTGAAGCTTGGTTTTTAAACTCTGACTTGAATATTTTGACTGTCATCATCTTAATTTTCTGAACATACAAAAAGCGGCTCTGAAAACAGACACACTGCACACTTGTGGCTTGGCAGAGCTCTATATTAAAGCATATTCTACTTTCTGCTTTACTCACAACAGGACCATATTTACAAAATAAACATGTCAATTTTTTGGAAACCAGAGGAGTCGCCCCCTGCTGGTAGTGGGGGGGGAAATTATTGTTTACGGTACTTCTGAATTAGCTTCACTTTTGAGACTCAGACGCTAGAGCCACCTATTATATACAGTTTACTGTAGAAACTGAATGTTTTGGTTCCAAGTAGTATTATATCAAATTAACAGAAAATGGGAAATCTATCTGAAAAGACATTCTGTGAATTCCATCCAGATCACTCAATGAAAGGACCTATTTTCCAGCCTTAGAGGAAGAATTAAATAAATAAATGCACCTTTAGATGTTCCAGTTATTAATCAATAATAACTAATACCATCAGGCAGGCATATAATTTATCACAAATCAACTCAAAAACAAGGAGTGCAGCAAAAACTATATCTCACTGTCTCATCTGCCTGTGAGAAGAGACGGTGAAATATAACCACAGACGCCTTATCTTAACATTATTAAGTCAGTTTTGGATTACATGAAGATACAAAACACCCTGGCATGATTAAATCCACATGAGAACTCTGGAGAGGTGTTTAGCTGGAACAACCTACCTGCCAAGTGGCTGACCTTTAATAGCTGTGCACAAGAAAACTGGTGTTCACACCAACATTTGCTTCAAAATCTAGCATCCACCCATGTGAAAGTGTCTGTTTATATGTGACTTGTTCTTACCAATATCATAAGCCAGAAAGTCTGCAGAGAAACACTTGGCTCCGTTGCTCAGAGATGTGTCATTGTGAGTGTTTCCCCCAAAAACCAGCATTGTGCCACTCAGCAGCACCACCGAGTGGAGGTACCGTGCCAAACCACTCTCCTTGAGGATTAACCTGCGTGCACACACAAACACACACCCACACAGAGTTGGGTTAATCAGCAATGTGAGGCACGTCAGAAAAGCATCAATTTGTCAGCCATGCGTGTGTCTGCGTGACATGTGTGTCCATAGATGCATGTACTGCAACTGATGGCGTCTGTCTCAGGTTGTGACCTGGCCTGTGGTGACTGCCCTTCATACCAACTGTTCTTTCACAGGAGACACACGCACACACACACACACACACACACACACGACATTGTAGGGGGTCTCAGTCTGTGGTGTCCAATCTCTCTGAGGTGAAAGGTTGTAAAGTAGAGAACAACTGCAGTGTCTATCTGTGGCTAATTTGCTGCAGCAATGCTGATTTTCTGCCCTGCCTTCAACTGATTTAAATCTTCTCATACAGAAACTAGACCCCTTCATGTCAGACTTTTTATATGTATGAGCAGCGTCGTTATCTCTGTTGTGAAAAGGCAACGACTACTCAGAACATACTTTAAATATGGTATTGAAACAGCGACCTGGAATGGAAGTCATATTTATTGATTCTAAAATATTGACAAAAAACAAACAAAAAAAACCCCAAAACAAAACAAACGTCTACTTCTAAGAGCTTGAAATATCTTTATAATAAAAACATTTTTATCAAACAAAAAAAATACATGTGTAATTTAACAAATCCAATTAAGGTCACATTGCCAATAAATGTAAATATCTCACACCATTACAAGGTTATAAAAATGTAAAATCAAGCATAATGAATATAGAAAAAGCCAACAATCAAGCAAACCAAAGACTAGGTGTTGGAATAGCTACCAAACTCTTTAGGATATTTTTTAGAGGCTTCTACACCCCCAGGGATGCAAAAATCATCAAGCTTTAGTGTTTTTTCAAGGTTATTCAATTGACCAGGGTGAAAAATAAGAGAAGGCAGTTCTCCAGGTTTGAGCAAATCCTGGGTTACCTGTAGAGCAGCCATCTACAGGGAGCAAACATGAGAAAAGATGGGGAAAAAGCTACTGTAGAGCTGTACAGAAGCAAAATGTGCTGTCGTCCAACAGTTTGGAATAGGAGTTAAACTGACCAGTATATGTGACAAATTGAATGGCTACAAATCAGTTGGAAACCACTAACATATAGATGTCATGTAGAAAAGATTGTCATGCTGTGGGATGCCTGTCAGAAGCTTTACACTGACAGAGGCCAGATGATCTTTACATTGGTAGGGAGAAGTATAAATCAGTGGAACACCCAGGGATGTGTCAGTCTGGGAATTTCATCAGTCCAAGAGCTCAAGTGACACTCGACTCCAACAACACATTCCAGCTGGAAAGTGAGAGGCACAGAGAGATTGCATGCACATGTGAGCATTTGTTAATGTATGCCTACTTGTGTGTCCACTGTGCGCATGTATATTAAAAGATGTTAAGAGCACGATAGAGCCCAGCATCCACTTTCACCAATCCATCTGTCAGAGTTCATCTGAGGTCAAAGCTCCTGGCAGATCCTGGCATTCTCACTCCAGTCTCCTCTTTCTGACAGGAACTTGGTGATTTTCCTTCCTCAGAAAGAGTTTGTGTTTATTTAAAGTGATTACACAGAACTATTAATATTATCACATTAACTAGTTATTAAGTCAGCTTTTATGCAGACTCTCTTTTATCCTCTAAGACATGAGGCTACAATAAATTATCATATTTTCACTACTATTATTAAGAACTCTTATTAAACATGTTTTTTTATTATATGGTGAAACATTTCTATATTAAGCTGTGATGTAAACAGTACAATATCTTTATAATAACAGGCTTATTTGCAAACACACCGCTGTTGCATTCACAAATTTATCTTGGTCTGTGTAACAAAGTTGCTAAATTCAATGATTTCAGCCTCAACGTTTAACAAAGGTAAATAGGAAAATATCAAAGGTAAATACACCCATTGTGAAGAACTGTTCCTCAAGGGATACTCTTGTTTCTGGCACATTATGATTTTGCATAAATTTCTGTTATGAAAATCTCTCCTTCATGCAAGTCCTCTAAAGGCTGCAAGAATGCATGAATAATGTCTAAAAGGCAACAGGGTGGAAGTAATGTTTTAATCATCTCAGAGTGACTAATGACATCAGGAAAAGTCAGGAAAAGCAGCAGGGTTAAAAAGAACAAAATCATTATCTGTAATGTAAAGAAGAACATTTTAATGGAAACACCTGCAGCTTTAAAACTGCAGTACGTGAACAGGCCGGGGACACGAGCTGACCAACATCTACTTTTGGTAAATTGCATGTGAATCAAAACACGATTACAGTGGAGTGATGTTTGAGCTGTGATTTGCTGGATTTCAATTAACTTTAAAACATGTTTGAATATTTATGCTGGTTCTGTGAGCCTGTCCAGGATGCACCCTGCCTATGATCTAAACTAAGGGTTGACCTTTTTTGCAGCCAGTGAGGACATTTTCTTAAGACGCCAACATAATATAAACACTACTTTTGATAGCTTGGGTATATTTCACATATTTCTAAACACTCACCAGCTATTAAGCTGAGCCAAGCCATGTAGCAGCAGGAACCTTGCTGCAAACTCACAGAAGTGAGTGATTTCATAACAGAGTGCATGGAGTGCATGGTGTGCTATGGCCAAAAGATAATGAGGGAAAGAGTAATGGACTCATTTCACTTGTGTTATTGATGTAATTCAGTCACAGGCACTATGTAGTCCCTGCACCCCAATTAGAGAACCACTCACCTAGTGCATGATGGGATTGGTCAAACCTCTGTATAGCCCTGAACACGGCAAACAGCTAAACTGGAGTTACCATGATTCAGACAGCTGTTATGTTTACCATGGACATCAAAGTAAATTTATTTTTCTTTTTTTTGATGCTGAAGAAATCATATCCATTTAGCATTAAAAAGAAATGTTTGCAATTTAAAAAAAAAAATCCATAGTACTGTTAATGTGCTCTCACCATGTTCTTGTGTGGACGTGGTAGCGGTACATGTGGTCCACCAGGCCGTATTTGTTGTTATTTAGTGCCTTGTATCCCCCGTGGACAAACACACAGCCACTGGCTTCATCATACACGCTGCTGTGACCGTAACCTCCCTGGACCACTGCACCTCCGGAAGACACAACCTGCCACGAGTTAGACCCTGAGACACAAACAAACAGGGAGGGGGGAGAGAGAGGGGCTGATTAATGGAGTGCACCCCTGTGGAAAGATCAAAGTTGATCACTTAAAATGTTTTTTTATGCTTTGGCAAGTTTGGCTTTTCACTGTGCTTGCCAAAAAGCAAAGCAGTTTTTATTCCAGAGGTGATATAAAGCAAAAAGAGGAGAGAGCGAGCCAAACAGGGAGCGAGGCCACAGAAAATTAGAGTTTCTTCAGTTTAAAAGCGGCCTTTCAAAGAGCCAAGATTAATCCAGGTGCATAAAAAAATGATTTTAAAAATGGGCAGGGGTTACGTCATCAGATAAACACCAATAAATAAAAGAAAGTAAACAAAGCCTAAGAAGAATTTTCTGAGACCAAGCGTAGTATCAAAAATAGAGACAGAAAAGGGAGGAGAGAGTGCATTTGAACTGAAACTGCTCATGATTCTTTCAAAATCTGAGAATGACGATTTCAAAAAAAAGAAACACAAATTTGAACACTCCACAAACTTTGTACAAAAAGGAAAATGGAAACACTTTAAAAATACAAATCATAATAACGGCATTCCTTCATAGTAACATCACAGCGAGAGCCATCAAAGACAATTCAGAGAAAGCCGATCTATTTGGTATTGTGGATGCTCATTACACCAAAGCTAAATTAGTTTCAAAGTTCTAAGATATTTGGAGGCAAAATAAAATAAAACGAAAATAAAATGCCTCATTTTTACGCTCCATGCAATATTTCATGTCACTAACTTTGTGCCTTTTTCATGTCACAGATCATGCTTTGCCCTCTCTGTACCTTCCTGCAGGCATCTCTGGCTCCAGAGCTGAATGTTTCAGGTCAGCGGTTACCAGCTCACCAACATGCCCTCTGTTTATTGTTATATTGTTTGTTGTCTGTCTGTTTATGCTCTTTTTTTAGTTTTTGCTTTTCCCTCATCCCATCAGGTTACACCAGATGGCCACGCACCCCAAGTCTTTTTTTTTTTTTAATGATTAAACTTTCAAGTTTTTCTGAGGTTCTGCTTGAAAAGGACATGCCCAAAGTGAACTGACCATTTCTCCGCAATTACAAACTGTGTGGTATCAAACTAAAGTTAACACTTGTGAGACTTCAGAGGTGTAAGCATCACAGCAGATGCTACTGTGTCAAAGTAACTGAGGATACAACACAGCAAACTATGCAGGAGTTTTTCCTGGCCTGGCCTCTTATAGCATATAACCCCCTTGAAAATATGCAGCAGTAGATCAAAAATGGAAGAAACCCATATATGAGAATTACCTGTGAAAAGATCGATGCTGCTTAAGTGAAACTGAGCAAAGTTAAAGAGAGCACTTTGCAGTTACTTTGCATACTATATGCGTTGTTTGTTTTGCAAGTGTTGACGGGGAAGAATAGAAGAGGAATTGTTTTTGTGGATCTAGAGAAAGCATTGATGTACGTGAGGGTGGTGTAGGACATGTATGAGCACAGTGAGACAGTGGTGAGGTGTGCAGTTAGACTGAAAGATGGGTTCAAGTGGGGGTGGGATTACATCAGTGCTTTGAGCCCTCTCTTGTTTGCAGTGGTGATGGACAGATTGACAGATGAGGTCAGGCAGGCGTCTCTGTGGACTATGTTTGCAGATGACATTGTGATCTGTGGGCAGCAGGCACAGGAGAGTCCAGAGAGGTAAAGACATGCACTTGAGAGAAGAGGAATGAAGGTAAGTAGAAGAAAAACAGAATGCATGTGTATGAGAGGTAGACAGGTGTAACAGTGAAGCTGCAAGGACCAGAGGCCACGAAGGCAGATGTGCAGAGGAGGGATAGTGAATATATTAAAAAAAAGGATTTTGAATATGGAGTTGTCAAGAAGACAAAGAAAATTAATGATTGTAGTGAAAGACATGCTAAGAGTTGGTGAGACAGAGTGGATGCTAGAGATAAGGTCCTGATGGTAGCAGCCAGAAGAACAAAATTGCTGTATTCTTGTTGTATATTTTTAGCAGGGACGTGGAAAGTTTGTTTCATCTTTTAGACCAGAGTTTCTCGTCTTGTATATATTAATATTGACATCAGTCTTGAAATGATTTAGCAGCCTGTCGATCTGATTTCTCTTTGCTAATGACAGCATTTTGCCCAAAAAAAAGCTTCACTGAACTATACTCAATTGAGAAAGGAACAATGACAGGAGAAAAGAAAGCCGGCGAGCAACTGACAGCCGACCACACACCTGGAGTGGAAAAAAATAGCATAAAAGAACAAGAGAAACAGGAGTAGGAGGAAAGGCAGCACTGAAGTGACGACAAGAAAGGAGAAGGTCAACTCTTATCACATCTCTCACAGCTAATTGCTGTGAACCCGCTTCTCCGAGTGGTCATTAAATCCTTTTACCTCATATTTTACACTTCGCTTCGACTCCCCCTCTGTTCATTTCCACACTACACTGACTCCTTCTTGCTCCTTCTGAAGCCTAATGATGCTCAGTGCAGACTTACGTTGTGACACTGTCAGAGAAAGAGGAAGGAGGGAATCGATGGAGGTGGGTGAAGATGAAAGTGATAGATGTTTGAGTGGAGATAAGGAATGAAGAAGGTGAGGCAGAGGAGCGCACAGTGATGTGGACAGAGGGGGAAGAGATGACAGAGGGGGTCAGAAGCTGAGGCTGGCAGGTGAAAAGAAAAATACAGAGGGAGATTTAAAAAAAGAAAGAATGCATGTGAGGAGCAAATGAAAGAGTGCAGAGGGAGGGATGGGAGAGGGGGAGAAAAAAATCAAGATGACAAGGAGGTACAGGAGTGAGGGGATGCAGCGGATTCATTAATCACCGTCTTCTCCCAGACAATCCAGCCTAGGTGCCACCTCTTCTTAATGACCACGCTCTGTGCACTGGTGTGTGTAAAGATTGTGTGGCTGCACACACCTCTGCTTTTCAGTCTGTGCATCTTGCGGGAAGTGTGTAAATATGTGTATGCTTGTGTGTTTTCCTCTCCAGAATTATTTAAACATTTGGTTCTAGCGCCATCAGCTGGTGTACAACATTACAATACCGCCATCTTCTATACAGCCATAAAGACACGGAGTCAGATATACACTGATGATAAATGCAATATCAACATTATTTTAAAAGCATGTGAAAGCGATGCTACACAGACAAAACTATAGCAGTAAACTTGCTTTGGAGAAGATTTTTTCAACCTGAAAAACTAGAACCATCCACCCATTTCCTCAGGGCCTCAGCCAACCAGGGTTACGGTGTGGCTTTAGTCCACACAGTTAACTTTGCAAGCTCACATTCATCTATCACAGACAGAATAAAATCAGTAATCAGTCATACATGGACTGTTAGAGTAAACTCCTCATAAAACCTTTCTGCTATCAGGGAGCAGCACTTAGCATGCAACTGTGCAAAACTGCACTCTTCAAGAAAAATCTTCTAATGTAGTCGGTGTTTTAAATTCAACCAGAGAAGCTTGGGGAAGTATGGCTCACAGACGCAAAGCTGAGACTAAGAGATTTCAGGGCCTGTGCGTGTTGTACTTCTCAGTTTTTAGATAGTCTGGCTTGATGTTTTTCTCCAGTCATTTTAGTCTTTAGGCCACGATTGTGTTCAAAACAAACTGAAATGAAACACAAGGCTGTTTATCACATATCTGACTATTGTGTGGTAATTACATTATACTCCACTATGTACTACAACAGCATGTATACTGTACAGTACAATGTTATTGTAAATTGTACAAAAGCAGTGTCAAACCGGAAACAAATGCCAATTGCAGCCCACTCCATTCACAAGAATATGAATATGGATGTATTTTGCTCGTTTTCTTCTTATTCTGGCTTCATTTATTGGATTTTATTGTTGTGCCATGCATAAAACACCACACCCAGCCCAGATAGATTGCAACAAAGCATTACATACCCAGAAAGTAAAGCCAGGGTAGCAGCATAACCTTTAAGCAATTCAATACGTTCTCATCTTCTCTTAATTCACAGAATTCACACAACCTGTAGTCCTCGTGCTTTTAAAACTGCTCACTTCAAGGACAAGTGGAAGTATTCTTACTGACAGCTATTGAATTTATGACATTAGACTTCTTGATAGATTTGCAGTAACATAGGTCCACTAGATTTTCTTTGCAGTTAAAAAAA